TATTTGGGTTTTCCTACTTTTCACCATTCAGGTTGGAATCGCCGTAAACCTGGTGTCATGGTTTTGGCTCCCCAGGTCTCACCGTCTTCCGAAGTTCCTGTCCGATGTTGATGACGTTTTTTCTGGCCACGGTCGGCCCGAATCTTACCGTGCAGAAGAGGCAAGCACCCTTCCCGTAATAGAAGGTCCCACTGCAGTATTTAAGCTAGAATCAGGAAGGCCTCAGTCAAGACCATCTGGACGCCCGGCCGACCCGGATCGCCAGCATTCTCTGGACCGATTTTAATGCGTCCTTATTCTTCCCCATTTGGAACGCCATGTTTCTCATACGAGTGTTGCCTATAGTGTTGTTCCCCGAACAGAAGCTCCTCCGGTCCTTAGTAAAATCCAAGTCAGGCTTAGAGCGATTTGCTGGGCTTTAGCCGGAACATATTTCACGTGTGCAACTCTGGATAACCCAGTATCGAAAACGATTCTAAAACACTTCGCTTTTTTTTAGATTTTTGTCGGGTTGCCCGCTAACACAAGGTTAATTTTCCTTATCCACTTTTGACCTGTTAAATACAGGGCATCTCTCTTTTCAGGCGCCGGCTATAAATTGTTGTCAACTAATTCATTGTGCTATCCAAATGCTTTATTGTCAGCGTTCTCTAAGGTGTTTCTCTCCTGGCCGTGGCCGTGAGCGCAAAGCCTTATCGGCGTACACCAGAATTTGAACTGCTTCCGGGAGTTCTTCCATCTTTTATACTTCGTCATAAGCCAGATTTCAGAGCAAAATCCAAGCATAAAGCAAGCACTTTCCGATCTTCCAGATATGATGAAATAATTTGTCTGGGGCACAATGAGATATTTTTTAGCCCGAGCGGATCTATTATTATATTCTAGTTCAAACAATTAAAAGTATTTCTAACACTGCTAGCAGAATTAGGAGGAATAAACCCTTAATTTTTACTTAATTGAGCCTTGGCCTTCTCGCACGCTCCAGAATCTTTTTAAGTGCACCCAGTGGAGCAAGACTCCCAGACAGACGAATTCTGTTTCACTTGGAGAAAATAGAGAGGCTTACACAGCAAAATATCCGAGACATCATAACGTAGAATTACAAGAATCTGCGCGAGTTCAAGATGTGATTCAGAAT